TTAGGCTAATGCTGATACTGTATGGAAAGAGATAATTCAACACAGTTCTTGATGAATTCTGTAATTGGGTTAACGGCGGAGCAGTCGGGGGAGAGACGTCAATATTCAAGCTGCGTCTGTAGCCACCAGGTTTATGAATGAAAGAAGACAAGGGAGGAAAGGCTGGAACCCGAGGGGGCCTGGTGCCCTTGCTCCCCGGGCAACGGGCGCTGCAGGGAGGCTGGGCGGCCGAGGTGCCAAGCGGCCAGCAGGGTCTCACCGCGAGGCGAGCACGGCTCCCCTTGCCTCGGCCGCCAGGCCCTTCTCCGTGGGAAACTTTCGGAGAATCCCCTCAGCTCCTCTTGCTCGGGACAGCTTGGCCCCAGGGCTCTGACTGTCCCCATCCTGGCAGAAGCCTCTGAGGCCCCTGTGCCGGCTCAACTCCCTGCCCTTGCCCCTAGAAGCACGGAGCTGACCAGGGGCGTCCCTTGGTGTCTGGCGCGGTGGGAGCACTGGGCATCAGGCAAGCATGAACGTCGCAGGCCGCTTACACCCTGTGCCAGGGGGCCGGGGAGAATGAGAGGCTCTATTGGGGCCGCTTGCTCCCCCTGGCCCAGGGCTGCAGACAGAATGATTAGAAACTAGACCTAAAGATCCTGCGAAAGAGCCGGGTTGGAGAAGGGGTTCAGACGTCAGCAGGAGTCGCAGGTGACCCCTTCCTCTCATGACCACCCACCTCTGTCAGGGCCTGGGCTGGGGTATTTCTGGCCACAGGGGCATCACCCACAGGCCACAGCCCTCAACCTCTCCCCGTGTCCCAGAGCAGCTGCAGGGCTGGAAGCACCCTCGTGCTCTCCCGCTCCTGGATTTAGGACCCACAAAAATTGTTATAAACTAAATTGTTCTAAATTGAATACAAACCCTACCACAGGAGCAGGCTCCTGAGCCTTGGAATTTGAGGAGGAAATGCTGATGCCTCTAAAATTTGGTGGGTTCTAGAACAGCCAGCCACCTAAGCCGAACTTTCCATGGTTTGAACCCAGAAGATTCCAGCCTGTGATTTCATGTACTTTTTATCTTTCTGCCACCCTTAAAAATTTTCCCTTATTCTTCACCTATATCAGTTCAATATTATCATCCTTCAAGATAAATACACTGGATTGAATTTCATCCCTATCTTCTTTTGTCAGTAATTACTGCAAAATTAAATGGGTCACTGCTAAAGTTTCATTTACACAAAGCCCCACAAGTAACTGTTTGAATATACCTCCCTACATTGTGCAAAACTCATGATTTTCTAATGCTAATGTTTCTTCCGGATCAAGAATGTGTGCTTGGTGGGGTCATAGGAGGGAACACAACGCCCCCCAACCGAGCAAAGGGAGGGGCCTTGTGCTTCTGCCAAAGACTGCACACCAAGCCAGGACAGGACCCAGCTGTCTTGAACAGGGGGCGCTTCCCAATGACTCAGGTTAAAATTTACAGATTCTAAACATTCCAGAACAGAGGGTATCTGCTGAAGCAAACTGCTAAAACCAGACTCCCTGAGAAGGCAGAGAGGCCTGAGCCCCTGGAGCGCAGAGGGACAGGTGGGGCTTGGCTTTGGGAGTGGATGCTTCCTCTAGAGGGAAAGAAGTAGTGTTCCTGGCCCCCAGGCACCCGTGGGGACCAGGGCTGTGCGCAAGAAAGCTGAGAGCCAACACAGCCTCTCTCCTCTCCTCTCATTAGCCCCAAATAGAAAAGGCATCACTCACAAGAGGAGACAAGTCATAAGGAATTTCTGTGTGAAAAGAAATGAAGTGAAATCAGAGGTGCTTTTCCTTACAGGCCATCCCTGTTACTGCAAATTAGATTAGCCACACAGCCTTCAATATAAACATGACACGCAGTTCACAGACTGAGCCCATCCCCTCCAATCTCGCCTTTCATCGGAGCAGCGCACGTAAGCCCCATCTTGTCCTTTAATACACTGTTCAATGAGATTAAAACATCACTTTGACACAATTTCGAGCCTTTCCAGTCATGTGGGCTGCTTACTTCAGAGAGCAGCAGCCAGGAAAGGGGGCTGCCGAGCGCTGCAGGCAGCAGGGTGGGAGAGCCAGGCCCCCTCTGCCCAGGAGAATGACACTCACCCACTCACGGGGACAGAACCCAGCGGTCCTGTGAAGGGAAATCACATTGCCCTCTGGTTGGATGGAGGCCTGGTGGCCACCCGGGCACAAGAACCCACAGAGTGGGGGCAGAGAAGGCCCACAGGCCCTTGGGAACACTCAAGCTTCTGGGAAGGTTTGGCAGCTGGGAAAAAGAGTGATGTCTACTTGGCCTTTGAACTCAGGGGCGGTGAGAAAGAGATGGGTTTCCTACAAGATTGGCTAAAGAGGGGTCTGCACCTGTTCTCAGCCACAGGAATGCCCGCTCTCTGCCAGGTATCTCCTTTCCCTCAAGGACCAGTCCCTTCTCCACCTGCAGGATGTCTCTGGGGAGTGGCAGGGCCCTGACAGACAAAGGAGCCCCGCACAGGCAGTGGAGGGGGCCTTTGGGCTAGGAAGTCAGCGCATTTGCTGCCTGAAGTGTGCACAGAACCAGAGCGTCCTGTGCTGCATGCCCACACCCTGGCAGGCAGTGATATCCTCTGCCACCACACAGGCAGCGGATGCCTGGAGCCCATGCCCTCGGCCAGCTCAGACTTGGGTAGATACCCTGGCCTCCAGGTGCACAGCTAATTTAGCTGCTCATAGTGGCAGGCTCCCTCCCTTGCCCACCCAGGCATTTCGTGCCCTCTCTGTCCTGTGTTCCCCAAAGCTAGGACTCTTTCAATCTTCATCAGGAGTGGTGGTCCCCTGCACCCCCCACCTGGGGAGATCTGTCCAGCCTGCATTGTTACTCCAGGGAAGAAGCTACCCAGGAAGAAACCAGGCAGTGGCAGTGGCAAGTGGAGGCCAGACGCATGGCGACGGAATTCTCTCTCGGTGTATCCCAGCCTGGACCATTTCGACACTGACAGCGGAGCTGGCTGGGCTTCTGGTCCTTTCCTGGGGCTTCCAGTGCTGCTGGCCACATCTGCCCATCAGGCAGAGAAAGAGACCCAGGGCCGGGACCGCAGACCCAGGGTGGGGCCCGGGCAGGACTCCTGTCTGCAAACCCAGCAGGAGGGAAAGACCTCGGTTCAGCCTCACCACTGCCCAGCCCTGCTGTGGCCCAGGCTTCTGGGTCCTCTGTGCCAACCCGGGTGTCACCAGGAGGTTCCCCTCCAGCCAGCCTGCCTTTCACAGGGAGATTCCTGCTCCGGAACTCGCCCTGCAGGAAATCGATGCCACAAAGAGGACTTTTAATGGGTTAATTGACTGCAGGCAGCTATCCAGTCCAAACACCTGTTTCCTGCCAAGCAGAGGCGCAGGCAGGTCCCTGACCAGGTCAGTGCTGCGGGCCTGCCCCATCTTGCCCGTTGGCCCGGCCTCGCTGGAAATCTATTTCACCTCGGAAACTTCCTCACCTTCTCCACTGGCTGCTCCGACCCCGGGAAAGGGGCAGAGGAGGGCGGCCTGCAGGCGTGGGTGGGGGACTCCCTGCCCTGCAAGGAGGATGAGGCCCGGCGAGCGCGTCGTGGTGCCACAGAAAGCGGGCGGTGCGATTTCGCTGGAGGAGGGGGCACACGCCGAGGGGCCCAGTGCCTCCCCGAGGTCACTCCCACCAGCTGGGGGGGCTCCGCAGGCGGAGCGCCCGGGCGGTTCCTGGCCGGATACCGAGTCCGAAAACGCTCACAGCTCATCAAAGGCTCGCGGCTCATGGATTATTATTTTTTTTCCCCCTGGTAGCAGAGTTAATACAGTCAAGTCTGTCGGTCAGTCAAAGTTAAATTGATTCTTTGCCCAAAACACATCTCACGAAATGGCACACGCTTCACATGTTAATTTTTAAAACATAATTTCAGTCCTTGGATTTAGTTCCTGGCGCAGCCGGGCTCGGTCGGGGCGGGGACGCCAGGGACAGGGAGCCAAGTTTCCCCAAATCCACCACCTCGACCTCCCGCCTCTTGCCCAAAAAGGCGAGCAGGGGAAACCGGCTGGGCGACGGGGCGGCGCGCACAAGTGGGGAATGAACGCAGGTGAGACAGATTGGCCAATCTCATAGCTGACATCCCAGAATTGACTTGTTTTAGTCACCAGAGGACTGAGGTTTAGTAAGCACCTACTATATGCCAGGTTGAGATGACCTAGCCCTGGTGGGCCATTGAGTGTGTGGCAGGAGGCAGTGTGTGTGTGTGTGTGTGTGTGTGTGTGTGTGTGTG